CACACAATGGTTCCACAATGCTTGGGATGATGATGATTGATGATTGTTTCGGCGCATGCGCAAAAGCCAGATTTCGAACTTTTTTTTGAGAATCTATTTCGAACTTTATTTCTTGCTCTTTTTCTTCCCTTAACCTTTCGTTCTAGTTCTGTTGTCCACTTTATACGGAGACAGAAAAGCCCTCTCAGTGTTTTTTAAGAGAAAAAAACGACTTTCTTTTTAATTAACGTGGCCAAATTTCCATTTGTATCAATTTTTATCTGTTTTAACTTGTTTCAGTAATGTGCGATAAGTTGTTTGATTTTGTGTGACATGTAAAAAGCTGCAGTTAAGTGTTTTTTGCGTGTGCTGCCAAAGAAGCTTGCTTGTAATTTGCCTCTGTTTTCTGTTTTTAAACACATTTGCTCTTCTCCGACTGGATGTACTAAATATTGAAGAGGAGTTTCGTAAGTATTTAGTTCATGTTGTTATTTATCGCCGAAAGAATTTAGACTTTGCTGAAGTCGCTAATCGAAGCTTGTCCCATTGCTACCGCCCAAGCCATGAAATTAGAGTTAACAGAAAAATCACTCATCAGTTTACTAGTTGGCCGGTAACAAACGTCTTGTCTTACTTGAGCTTGGTACTTAATAACGTAAAGAACGTCAGAAAACCGTACATGTCGATTTTACAACATTACATCTGATCATAGTTAGTGGTCTAAGCCTTACAAAGCTTTAAGAGTCAATATATCAGTAAGAATCGGAGATAATCCCAAAATCGCGGACACAGCTCAAAATTCGTTTTCCCTGATACTTTTTACATTGATAGAGTATTATATCGTAGTAAACAAAAGAGGGTTAGTTTGGTCTAATTTTTACGTTTATAAAGGGAATTAAACAAAATCGGTTGGGTCCGGTTTGAACCAAAATCACCTCTTTGATGAACCGAAATTTCACTATATTCGTGACTCTTTCAAGTTAGCTGGATAAAGCCTATAAATGATTTCTTACTATGAATAAATAGCTTGGCCCTTGGTAAATTAAATATTGTTTATATTGACAAGTTGCCAGCTCTACTAACCTAATACGGGTAATCTATCTGTCATACTAAAAAACAAACGGAAACGGAAACTAAAACAAGATTGTTCACTTTACCGAATTTTTATGGCCGAACGATTTTTTGGAGACGCGATGATGCCCACAATTATAGCTAATTTATACAACAGGATAAATTGGAGTTAATGTGATAACCATAAACCCGCCCTTACCAGTAGTGAATCAGCTAACTTCGTTTCAGAGGTCACTTCCTGCATGTGACCCCTGTCACACTAATTGTTTCGCTCAGCTAATTAGATGCCAGCTATCACATGTACAGTTGATGCCTATATTTTCGCGCCTAGCTCAGCAAAATAGCACTTCATATTCTTCTCTTCGTGGAACAAAATGTTTGTTACTTATAGCCTGGATTTTTTCTTCATGAATTGGAATTTTTGCTAAGCTGTAATGACGAGGTCACCGTTTAGGAAGAGCTACCTTGATCTTCTACCTGCATACAAGCCGTATGCGTTTGAGTTTTTCTGGACAGAACTTCCACGAAGAGATGTTGCACCGCCGCTCTTGGTCAAACTCCGTCCTTGGAACATTTATCTACAATCGTGCAACCCTCCTCTCGAATGTCGCTGCTTTCTCCTCTTCTTGAACTTTCGATATCCTCTCGCATGTACCGTCACTTTAGCCGTTTCGACTCTCTCGGCTGGCACGTCACAGTCAAGGTTCCTCCGCAGCAAATCATCTTAGCCCAGTGTGTCTTCCTTTGGGATCAGAGTTGCTCTCTCATGATTCAGGTGCGGTATTTTTCTGGTCTGTCGATAGTTAACTTAATATTCTTATTATATTGTGCCTCGAACGACATCTGTGTTTGCAATATTGTGTGCATGTGACTGTACTGAGCGCTTTCAGACATGGAAAGTTATTTTTGAGTTCACTTATTATTATGAAGAAGGACTTGGCGCCGCGGCCTCTGAAATTCA